AAACATTTTATATACCCACACCAAATTGAGCGGGGGGGGGGGGGGGGGGGGGGGGGGGGGGGGGGAAGAACACATTACGCCATCACCTAGGCAACCAGGTGCCTGGGCTCAAGTTATGTCCCCATCTAGCAGTCAGGTAGGCCCTGAATTAGCATCTCTATAAGACACCTTCCAAATTACAAAAGGAAGGAAGCACCAAACATCTGAACTCCTAAGTCCTCAGCTTCAGTCAAACATCTCAGGTAATCCACATTTTAACAAAAGGAGCTAGGAGCAGGCATCCTGGCTTTTGTTAAGGGCACAGACAGCTCGTCTGCAGAGCTCCGTGATCAGCTCAGACGGAGCTAATGGCTTTTGTGCCATATCGAAATATGGGCCCACAAGTTCCTCCCCGCAACACTGATGTCCAATTCCAAACAACATAGAAGAATAATTTAAAATCTACCTCTTGCAAACAAGATTTATGGCAAGAAATTTGGATTATGACCTATCTACCTGCCCAACACCATGCACACCTGAGAAATCTCACAGATCAGAAACTCCTTTTGTCCTCTGGAACTAAACTTCACTGAATCACACCATTGTGGCTGGTGGAAAGAGAAAGTTAACAGTATTCTAGTCATGTATTGCTGAAAGGTGATCCCATCACCATCTTTCTAACAGTTTCTAAACTACTTCTGTCATTTATGAGACAAACCTAAGAGTGGAATGCCATATTCAGAACTTCTATAAACCAGACCTTCAGATTTCCAATTTGTCTCTCCTCTGCACACAAACAGCAGTGCTCATGTGTGCACACTAGACAGAGTTACTACAAGCATCATATCCTCCCATTCCAGGGCTGCAGAGTCTCCCACTTCCCAGGAAATCCATACACAGGGAGGCTCAGAGGACAAGGACCACTGTCCAAGAAACCACATATTCAGTCTGCCTCATGGTCCATCCAATACCCAGCAGAAATGACAGCAGAGGAGATCTGCTCTTAGCATGCCATACTCACCAAGGCATAGCTTGTTGTCTTATTATTCACTACAGCAGAAGCATACTAAATCCCAGAAAGAACACAAAAACTATGTGTCACTAGTAATCCTGACTGCTCAGAATCCCCAAAGTTCCTCATGGGTTAGAGCCTCCCAGATATGCCTCAGAACTAGCACTACCCTCCTGGGTGAGCCAAGATCAAATGACTCAGGCAACACGGTCCTAACTTTGTCCTTTCAGTGCAATAGACAGAACCTTATCTTCTACTCTCCTGAACACATCCTGTTTCCTATCCAAATCACATGGTTCTTCTTGTGCACATCACATTACATATGCAATGTCTAGTTCAGCCAACCCACTGCCACATATTTGGAAAATCCTGCTGATAAACACAGGTCACAGTCAACTGTTATTAAAGAAAAAGAGGCCATGAATTAGAAGACACGAGGGGTCATGGTAATCTTGGAGGCAGGAAAGAGAATATGGATATGATAGAGTTATAATCTCAAAATTAATTTTGAAATGTTGAAACAGACTTTATAGCAATGTGTTCCTGACAAGGGATTAGAGCATATCAAAGAGTTCTCGCACCTTTTCTCTAAAGATGCACATCTTAAACAAGAAAAATAACAGACTTGTTAGGCAGGGTCACAACATTTTGCCAGATCTTTTATTTTGGTTGAACTACTGTAACTATAGCAATTGTTTTCATGATTAGGTCAGTCTTTTACACAGATTTTTGATTGCACTTGTCTGTATACCTTAAGAAATGGCCAATCAGGACATTTATGAAGCATCTCAAATTGACTATGTAATTCACATTACTAATCTCAATGACTATTCAAGTGGGAAAGCTCTCACCCTCCTACCTTCCTCTCCATTTCTGCACTCTTTTGGGACCAGCTTCGAAGTTTTCAATGACTCAATTTGATCATATGTCTCTTCATATTTAAGCTCCCCCCCCCAAAAAAAAGACAGAGAGACTGAAGGTCACCTATGAACTGGTCTAATTTTCCATCCCATTGGCTAGTGAAGGCCCAGTCTATAAGGAGTTTGCAGAACTGTTTTCCCAGCACTGGGCAGAAGAGGCAAGGTTAGGTGTTCAAAACAATTCTCAGTTATAAAACATGCAACAAACTTAAGCTATAAAAGACATTGCTTTACACAAGAATCAATAACATGAGTTGAGAGAAAAGGACTGATGCTATTAATGACATAGAAACATTGGTGAAGAAGCCGGGCGATGGTGGCGCACGCCTTTAATCCCAGCACTCGGGAGGTAGAGGCAAACGGATCTCCATGAGTTCGAGACCAGCCTGGTCTACAGAGCTAGTTCCAGGACAGGCTCCAAAGACACAGAGAAACCCTGTCTCGAAAAAAACCAAAAAATAAAAAAAATAAAAAAAAAAACAAACATTGGTGAAGAGAAACAGAGATAAGGGCAGTAATGCACTTAAAGAAAATATTTAAAACTGATACCAAAAATGATTTTTAAAATGATAAAAAATGTTGTATTTTTAAGATTAAAAAGCTTAGGTATATTAACTTTGAAAAACAGTAGGACTTTCCCTAGAGGGAAAGTCATTAATAAGAGATAGACTGATTAGGCCCGTACATCTATGTTGTCTGCTGAGATCTGTAACCTGAAACATAGAGTTAAATTCAATAGACTGTTTCTCAAACCTCTGAGCTTACATAACTTTATCAAGCAGGACTAAAATATCTGCATAGGATCTCTGCTTAATTACACCTTCAGTATTCATTGGCACAAGATAACCTTACCAAACTGTACACCTACACTGATCTGTGTTCAATCATATGACATGAATTAAAACATGCTGGGAAATTACAGAAACACTTCCCTGACCACAATCAAGTCATTTATCATAATGGTGAGTTCAGGAGCTGGTTGCCTACCCTGTTTCCCCTGTAATGTACAGAGTAAATTCTTCCTCCTATTTTGGTCAGAAGACAGAAGCAATGTTCCATATGTGGATCCTTTTTCTGTGACTGCGCTGGATAGTTGACTAAATGACTCTAACAAATTATTTTAAAACTGAGATAGATGGTACAGTTACATAATTTAAGAATTTTGAAGGTGAAATATAGAGGACAACAAGGCCATTCTCTGGAGTGCAACAGACTGGAATCAAGGCCACCCAAGTCAACCTAAGAGACCTTGTCTCAAACACAGTTTTTCCAACAAGATGGAAAACAACAGTTCTAGAATTAATATGCCTTCCCTCTGAGAAATCACTTCACACAAAGGGAATTAACAAAGAAAAACTTTAATTTTACATTCCACATGTGCTGTCATCCTTATGTGTCTTTTAGGTTCATGTTCCATGTAGACTTTGAACACATCAAAAGAGAAAGGCAAGTTGTAGGTCTAGCCACTCAGGCAGATGAGAGGGTTAGACAGCAAAGATATTCCCAGAACACTTTCTTAAGTACACCTGTGGCCTGAAACAGTGACAGGATCCTGTGGTGAAGGTCACAGTGGATGAGAAACATAAGGCAAGTAGAAGGTAGAGAAGATAAAAGCAGCTGAGCAGTGGTGGCACAGGCCTTTAATTCCAGCACTCTAGAGGCAGAGGCAGGCAGATCTCTGTGAGTTTGAAGCCAGCATGGTCTATAAGAACTAGTTCCAGGACATGTTCCAAAGCTACAGAGAAACCCTGTGTTGAAAACCCAAAGAAAGAAGAAAGAGAAAAGATAAAAGCTATGGTGGATATTTCTTACACATGATAAGTTCCATGCCAAATAAGTTTCTTAAGAAGAATAGAATATTGTATCCAACTTCTAGGGGAAATGGAAGGAAATGAACAACTTTAATGAAGTCAGCAGAAACTCTCCTGCAGTAGTACAAATTCAAGGGAAGGCTAATCAAACAATGCTACACAAGGAGTCTTAGGTAATCATTACTGACTAAGATCACAAAGGCCTTAGGACTTAAAACCATATCTCTGAGGGTTTCTCAGAATCTAAAGCAATACTTCCACAGAGGCCCTGACCCCAGGCGATTACCAAAGTAGCTAAATTCAACTGTCAATATATTACACCCTAGGAAAAGCTCCCAAATCCTAGGCCCCAGGCTGTTATTTTCCCTCCTCCCTGCTTGAGGGCCTAAATAAAAGCCTTAGTTGAACAGGCCAGTCCTTAAGAGAACAATGTTTTATTTTTAAGTAGATGTCACCTGGTGTCATATTGCCCATCAGGCAGAACTATGCTTTTCTCAAGTGGAAAACTGAAACTCGAATGGCACACCATGTCTTAAGCTTCTAGTGACCAAGTTATGCCCCCACGAGCAGCTTGGTACAGGCTTGTTCTTTTGTATGCAGATGGACCTACTGCCTGGTTGTAAACCAGGGAAGGCTTCTTTTTAAAGGCTTAGAGCCAAAAGTCTGAAAAATCCTGTTGAACAAATGTACATCCTAGCATCCTAATCTCTAACATGCCTGGTCAGCATACTCGTATATTTTGAGGGGTTTTGAGGCAGTCTTCCATCAGTTAAATTCTGCTTTTTGAGACTTAGTATTTCCTAATTGTTGGTAAATCATTTGTATTACCAATTCCACTCTTCTACATCACGGCGTAGGAGTGGAGGGCTACCCAACATATGGATGATTTTACAACCTCCACAAAATTAACAGTAAATGGATCTCATACATGAAGGTAAAATGCACAGTGCTGAACATCTAGAAGATACTAGAGAAACTAGATTTCCATGAGTTTGGCAACCTGCTTTCCATGAACGCACTAAAAGCATAATGATGTTGCCTAGAAAGAGGTTTCTTCACACAGCTCCCTGCTCCCAATGCCCTGAGCAGATTCAGCCCACAGAGACAAGTTATTCAGGGGCCTGCCCTATTCAGGGAGTTGCAGGCATGGCATGGAACTTGAAAGGATGGGGAATCTGGTTGCAGTTTCCCAGGCAGATCTGGAGAGGAACCTCCACACAGGTTCCCGCACCTCACCGTCTGCTCCTCCCAGTCCAGGGACAGCAGCCCCTCACTCACCATGCCGCGGTTTCCTAGCTTTCCCAAGCGCTCCACACAGGTACGTTGAGGAGTTTTAGTGGAACAGCACACAGAGCTGGCTCCACTTCCACTTCCCGGCCAAGCGGGAACCGGAAAGGCCCTCCACTATTTCTGACTGGCAAGTTACCTGGAGGACCTGATTGGCTAATGATGCCTGAGTGACACGTTCTCATCCCATAATGTTAGTCTGTTCTTAAAGACACAGCACAATGGTTCCTTACCCTGCCTTCCAAACCAAAGACCTTTTCTAAATCAGCAGAGATGTGCATTTCAATAGCACTTGCCCTTGCAGCCAGTCACTTACTCTATTATCGTCCAGTAGGCACTTCTTCTTCCTCCTGGACACTAGGTGGTTAACTATCTTGCACAGCCCACTATATTTTGTGGATAGAATAATTCCTTGTCACACATGTGGTGGGGGAAGTACTCAGGCCACAGGGCAACTGGCCCACGCGAGGAGGGGTGGAGAGCAGGGAATGGGCGATCCTGAGCTGCAAGCGATCAGGACGAGGGTGTCAGTGCCCCTTCGCATCCAGGGTGGAGCCTGGGGGCGGGTCCAACTGCGGGGCCCTGCAAGGCAGGGATCTGATATCTGGGCACAGGGCGGGCAGCATCCAGCCCCGGGGGAGTCACAGTGGAGTCCAGCTGTGCAAACAGAAGGAGGGTCAAGGCGACACAGGGGAGACGGGCGGGAGTACTCTAAGAAAAGAAACCTGTTGCTCCAACAGGAAAGCGCGATTGCCCCTGGCCGCCAGCGGCGGAGTGGGTGGCTGGCAAGAAGTGGGGAAGGCTTGCAGTTGCCGCTGCGAACTTGTGGGCAGACCTGGAGTCGCGGCATAAGCTCAGTGCGGTGCGGCAGGCACAGATTGCGGCAGTGGAAGTCCTTTGTTGCAGCGCTGTCCCTGGAACAGCCCGAGTATCTCTGTGCAGCCCAGTGGAGCGCTGCGCGCCACCTGCAGCTGGCGTCCCCTCCCTTCCGCCGGCCTGCTGGACCTGTGGCCCAGCTGCCCAAACTTCTGCAGCTGCGTGTCCCACAGTGCCTGATGAGTAGCTGCCAGTCTTCGGAGTGATGTGGGTAACATTGACCTGAGCTGGGTCAATGTGTTCTTCCTCTGGGAGCCCACTTAAATACCCTGAGGGAGTGCCATGCTGGGATTTGGAGTCCAGATCAATGCAGCTTCCAGGCCAGGGGGCTGGAATGGATGCCATGGGCTGGGGTTTCCCTCCTGACTTAACATTCCAGACTGCTTGGATATAGGGGTGACAGGAAGTTGAGATGATAATTATGACCAACATTTTAGGCTCTCGTAGAAAAAAGAGTGTAGATTCAAGTCTGGCTACTTCCTGTGGGCATGGGACGATGTGGGAGAGGGGAGAGCTGAAATTTGGTGGGTTCATGCTCAGTGGGAGGTATGCCTGGAAAGTCATCTTGTTCACTGTCATTCTGGAGATGCCAGGTATCTGTTTCTCGAGGGAGATAAGAAGGCACATGTCTAGGAGAAAAAAATTTTGCTATTATTGGCCCAAATGAGACACAATAGCAGATGAAACCAGATATTAGTTGGCGGGTATCCTTGATCCAGAAGAGTCAGCAGGTGTCCTTGAACCAGGAGAGCTGGTACCAACAGTGAAGTCCCAGGAACTGGTACAGGTGCTTTTGATGTCCTGGGAGTGCTTTGTGGTTTGGTATTGACTTAGGCAGCAGGAGTAACCTGCAAAATATGGCTAGGGTTAAAAATTAAAAACCATGGCTTTTACTAGACCTGAATTTGATGTAGCAACAGAACTTTTCCAGGAATCTGTAAGAGAACTGGAACAGATTTTATATCTTGGTGTTATAGCAAAAGGCTATTACTTTAGGTTAGAAGGAATAATAAGAGAAATTGGGAACTCTGAACTTCTGAAGATTGAAACCTGTTAATCCTGGACTATGAAGCCTGCTAAAGAACAGTACCTTGAGTTGTTAAATGCCTTTAGATAGATCTGGGAGGAACAGATGAGTAAAAAACAATACAGTTTTTACCTAGCAGGCAACACCAAGTTCTCTCCTTGAACTTGGAAAACATCAGTCTTAGAAGCAGTATTTACCATTAGTTGTTAAGTGTGAGAATCCCAAAGATTTTTGCTGTGATGCGGAAGATTCAGCCTGACTGTCTTGGCAGGATGAACAGATCAATTTCCCAGGTGAAGCATCCAGATGCCGTGTGTGTGTGTGTGTGTGTGTGTGTGTGTGTGTGTGTGTGTGTGAGACTTTTGGCATTGCTGAGTCTTCAACAACATCCCAAAAAACAAATGGGTCATGCAAAAACCCTACCCACATGCAGTTTAAAAGGGGGAACTCACCAAGTAAAGCCAAACTTGCCTGGTGGAGCACATGTGCAGGAAGGCCATTTTCCAGCATGGCAAAGAAAGTGACATCAAAGCGGAACTTCTTGAAAAGGATTCTTCAAAAGCATTTTATGCACAAACAGATCAGAGAAGATACCAACCAGGTGTCTGATGATTCAGCTTCGACCACTCGAAGCAGAAAAGGCACAGTGGAATCTGGAATGGCATCTGGTGAAGGCAAAATTAGAGCCACCAAGACAAAAAGAATTATTATCAATTATGAGTACACAATATGATATTCCTCTCTGTATGCTATGAATATGTTTAATTACTATTGGTTATTAAAGAAGCGGTTTTTGCCAATGGCTTAGTAGAGTAAAGTTAAGTGGGAAATCTGTAGAGAGATATAGAAAGTAGGCAGAGTCGAAGAGATGCCACGTAGCTGCCAAAGTAGAAAGGTACCAACCACCAGTAAGAATCTTACCAGTAGTCTACAGTCTCATGGAGGTACACAGATGAATAGAAATGTTTAATTTAATATATAGGAATTATCTAGAAATATACCTAAGCTATTGGTCAAACATTGCTGTAATTAATATAGTTTCCGTGTTATTATTTGAGACTGGGAGGCCAGGAAACAAAAGCACCATCTCCACATAACTTCTGATATTTCTAGGAAATATAATCTCATTGCACACCTCCTATTCCATGACCTTTATAATTTTTCCACCACCTCTTTCTTAGCGATTCCCATGTTTTCAGGGAATTAGCAGTTTTGTAGATGTATCCATTGGCACAAGACTGCATTATTACATATTAATTGGTTATAGTGTTTTGTCATGGTCATTGGTTGCAAAAAGATTAGGGGTGAGGAGTACACTTTTGGGTATAAGGGCAAATATTTATAATGTAGTTATGGATTATGCTGTCTTAATAAAATGATTATAAATACTCTCCTACAACTATGACTTCACTAATCCTGAGTAGTTGTCTAGGTTTTTAACACCAGGCATGATTTTTCTCTTATTGATCCTTTTATTTATATTATAATAACTTTGCGCCTTCAAATCTTTACTCAACTGGCAGTGTTTCCCAGTTTTGTTATTCTTGTGAAACAACAGATTCTTAATAAATCAACAGATAATGTTGGAATGTATTTATGAAATTCAATATAACTTTAAATTTATTTCTTATTAATGATAATATTAAAAATGCTCTCTTAGCATAAGCTCTAATAAAGACTTTGTTTAGCAATTTTCTTTGTCTACTTTCAATAGTACAGTCTTAGCCTGTAACATGAATGTAGCAGGAAGGACAGAGCAGGCAGTGGCCTCAACAGGGTGCCAGAGACAAACATTTGATCTGATTTGCACCACACACCCAGTCTCATGCAGGTGTGCTTTGATGCACTACTAAAGGGTTTGCTAACTGAATAAAGGGATAGCAAGGAATTGAACCTCTATCCAGCAGTTCACTGACTGGAAACAAACTTGTTCCATTGTCTTATCTCTCTTAAGTTCTCTTCAAGGGAGCTTTTAAAATGCAGTTATTTTGTTCCTTTTGCTGGTAGCTATTAGACACACCAGATGCGTAGCAGGTGGCAATTATTATTCAGGTGTCAACCTACTAGATGAATCTGATGGGTGAACCTCATTAAGCATAGATGTGAGATCACTGACTCCAAATATTGTTTGCTTCTGTCTATATTTTCACATTTGCAAGAACAGCCATGGGGAATTCCATATCATTGTATTGTATGTGTTTATCTCATGAATACATCTTGATCTACTGAGCATATTTATGTGTAAATTATCAGAAAGATGCTGTCTAATTTTTGACACGGGTAGTTCCTATTAAGTTCCACTAAGAAGATTCTTTAATCACATCGTAGATTTATGTTTTAGGAAAACGGTTGAGTCCAGACACGCTCAAATTCCTTTATTATTTATGCTGAGAATTGAAGTAATGGGTTTGTTTTACACCATTACATGAAAGAAACTTCAGAAGAGCTTTAGATTGACCAAGATGCCTTGCTATTACAAGGTCACAACAGCTGACCTGCCTGTATAGGTTGTAAATACAAAGACAACACAATTATTGATAGCTTGCAGTGATTAAATTCTTAGACCCATTTCTGACCTCAAATTGTGAAACTAAGTTCTGACTAGTGTAGAATACGGAAGATAATTTGACTCTGCAGCCTGAAATGAAGGCTGCAGGTGTTCTTGGATAATTAGAAACCTTTTATTGCCTTATATATTGGTGGGGATATATAAACTGAAAAAAAGAGAAAAGAACAACATGAATATTAGAGCACAATGGAAACCAACATGAGAACAAGATAGATGTAACTATCAAGCAGTAGTGTGTTTTTTCCTATTTCCCAAAAAGCCTTCAGATTAAAAACAAAATCCCCAAAGCTCCAGTACTCAGCAGCATTAACTTCACAACACTGCAACTATTTGTAAGCTAGTCTTGAAGGCTTCGATATGCCCTAGTTGATGGGATTACACTTTGTATAACAGGTTAGCCTCAAACTCACCAAGAACTGCCTGCCTAATTTTGAGATTAATTGAATTAGCAGGCCCAGTCTTTTCTTCATCCTTGAATACAGACTGTCTTAGAACTCAAGCTCTCCTTTAAACTAAGCTTTTCAAGTGCTAAGATTAAGCAGGTGGATCAATGGGTTTGCTGTGAGATTGTGTGTCTTATAAGACACACCTGTAATGTCTCATAATCATGAGTGTCTGAACCGGAACTGAGTA